TTTATAATCGATGAAAAATATTCCCTCCGAGTCTCAAAAGACCGTTTACGAGTGCATGACCCTGATGACTGTGACTTCTTAAAATTCTAAACACCTATGACATTGCAAAAAGTTTGTTTCCATTCACGTTCACAACGATGAATCCAAGTTTCATCTCCAGTAACAATTCGACTCGACTATTCGAATTCGATTATTATCCTTCTTTTTATTGCAGAAGTCCAAAATAATAAAAATGAATACTTTATGCGTTGTTGTTTTTTGCGGAGGCGTGAACATTCTCAACACTCATCTTGCGCTGCTCTCAGTCATGTCCAGGTTAGCGTACAGAATTTTGGAAATGATTTTGTCGGATTCTCGAACCATTTCTGTGCGTAGTTTATTCTTTAGTCGAGCATCGCCTAGTACAGTTTTTCAATTTTTCAGATAAGTTCTGAAGTTTTCGCCTTGATGCTTCTGACCGCTCTCAGGACGTTCCTTATTTAAATAAACTGTGTCACTTGTACATCATAGTTTTTCCCGTACAAAAGACCCCGTCGAACCTGACTTTCCTGACCTGGTAACCTCCTTGATAACTTCTAACAGAAATGAGCTCAATCTGAGAGATGAGAAAAGCATAATATCTGAGCTCTATTGTTCTCAAATTCACGAATATTTTTTCTTCACTTCACTCGGCCTCAATGGACTCAAGTAAAGTTATATGGGTATCCCTCGGATATCAAAACGTGGTTATTTGGCAGTTCTCTCTCTCTCTCTCTGAGAGGCGGGGAAAGCACATAAAAAAATTTCCTTGGCGGAGTCTTTGTCGCCTTCCGCGCTTAACTGGGAACTACTTTTATACGTAACAGACTGTAGATCGATAACTTGTAGTGAAGTAGCAGTCTACCAAACCAGCAGTGGAATTCAGAGTTTACTCTGCAAGTCAGTGTCTCATATACGTATTGTTTCCAGCCCTTTGCAGATTAAAAGAGATCGTAAGGGAGTTTCGATTGAACACTATAAACCTGCTGGAGCAATTTTCTGCTTGGCTCCCCTCCATCTGCACTTTATTCTAAGCCTCTTCCGAAGCGTGTTAGAAACACCCTGGAAAGATTTCAGATTCTCTAACAAGAGACGAACGCAGCTAGAGAACTTACTTTTCTATAATTTTGGATATTAGTCGAACCCTAGTCTTCGAATATTACAGCCAGCCAGTTTTTTTATAATCCCGAGAAATATGTACAGTAGATCTGAGCATCTTTGAGGTTAAGAAGCAGTTTCCAGTTCAATCGTAGGTAGCCTTAGCTTTTCTTTAATGGGCTGCGTTGATGTTATTTTGAAACTTAGTCGGCAGAACAAAGTGAAGTACGTATATATCTGGGTATAGCCTTTGAGATGCGATTACTGAACCTACGAGGAGCGGAGCATTTTCTTTTTCAAAAATATCGAATATGAAAAAGGTGGTAAGGCTAAAAACTCTAAACGACCTGAACTGGCGGCGCTGACGTGGAAAGAGGTGTTAGTGCTCTCTTTAATCTGCACTGCCTAATTTGTCCAGGAAAGTCTTTGGAGCTACCGTTTCAGGTGAAGAGCATCTACAAGTATTCTAATTAGAGAAATTTTAATTTCATCTTATTAAATGCCATAAATATATATATATTCAACTCGATTGTGTTTGACCATATTCGAGGAAATATGTTTTTCTTGCTCTTCAAAGATGACACAAATATACTCCCATATCCTCAGGCACACAAACAACAAAAAAGCAGCACTTGAGCAACCTTATGGAATAGTACATATGTACATATGTATGTATGTACGGGTATGACCCACTGTCTTTGTCAAGCATTATTACAATAATTGCGCCCAGCCTTTTCTCCTTCGCTCACTTATTCCTGTCGACGCAGTCACAGACGCGTCGCCACCGCAGCGGGACCGCAACGAGCTAACGAGCTAACGAGTGCGCGAGAAGTCTTGTGTGAATGCGGTGCTTGAGGTGCAGATTGGTGTAAGTCAATTTTCGGGCATTTTTTTTTGTTTTTGTTTTTATTTTTTGTCTATTTTTTTTAATTTTATTATTTCACTTGTGATTGTGTCTTTTCGGTTTCTCTGTTTTCGGTTTTCCCTTTATTTTATGATGAAAATGTAATTAACTTTCGTGTCAATATTTACGGCGCTGTCATTCACCGCAGCTCCTCACCGCAGTCAGCAACGAAGGAACGAAGGCAGCTCAGAGTGTACAACATCCGTGCTGTGTTGTTTGTGTCTCAGTTGAAGCGAATGTTTCATTGCCATTGTCAGTTGTGATAATCACACAACCACATGCGGCCGAGAGGTGGCGTGAGGTCTTTTGCGGACGCGCACATTCTCACTCGGAGACTGATGCGAGGGATGGCCGAACTTAGTTGGAGTGCTGACTGACATGATGCACTTGGATCTTGTTGGGTTGACTCTTTGCCAATTGTGCCACACCTTGTAGTTCAGTTTGTACATACGTGTACATACATTTGTATAGGAATATTTGGCACGACTGGACACTTTGAACAGCACCAGAAGTGTAAAATGAGAATTTTATGGGTTGAGTAGAACTATTCGACTCTAGCGAGTCTCACATACGCGGTACCACCTCCATAGTCTTATCAGGTACATCACATACGACCAAAGTTGTATTGTCACACTTCTCGTTCTGTACCTACCTTAAAGATTATTGATGTACCCATCGCGAACAGGAAATCCTTTGACCTTCTCACCATTGCTTGAGATCAACTTCTCTCTAAAAGAGATCAACATCGGTCTGCTGAATGGCGATCATTCACGAATTCTTGCACTTCTTGCCCTCTAGCAGACCATCAACAGGCAATACGCCGTTATTATTTCTACTAGATCCAGGCTCTGTTCTATTTTTCATTAGGGTATAGCGTTTACTCGGTTATAACAGCCTGCAAGAGTTACCAGCGGAGACCAGATGATTTTTGATTTGCTCGTAGCCTTCCTCCTCATCAAAGCATTGCAGGAAAGAAACAAGTATTTTGGTGGCTTGAACTAAATTCTTTCACACTCGTTGAATGATAACCGGGGAGTCATATATGTGGTATTTTTCTTTATGCTCTGCACATCACCCCAAAATAAGGAGTTCTCTTTTGGCCTTTATTTTATGACGTTGAAAAACGATAGACTAAAGGATCTTTGGTAGAACAGTCGGAAAGTTCAGCATCAAAATCTCCCTAAATGACCCACACATTATCGACTACGCCGGGACCCGAAATATGGTTTTCTGTAATACCAAATTCCAACAAAAATATCTATCAAGCTTTTGGTTGTCACCGGTTTGGAAGGCTCAAAACCAGACCACACTCACGACAGCCAACCGAAGGTTACGCTGCTCCGATTTAGACTACCGGAACTAGCGAGACGCAAATGAAGAAGCTTCAATAGCTACAATTCAAAGCACGGCCTTTGGGACCGTGACTCGAAACCTCTTGATGTCGCTATGCTATGCCGTTGAAGTAATATCCGCTGGCATGCTACAGTGGGGAGTACCTCAACAGACATTTACTAGAAGCCGAGCACCTACTTCGGCACATCAGCAAAGGAATACCAGACTATACCCACTGCATTCCGCACAATAGACAAGCATACCTTGGCGGAATAGCGTGCCGACAGGCCTTAAACGTCAATCACAGAGTGTCTAACAACGCCTTCATGAATTCTCTTCCAGTGCATGGCGTTCTTGGAACACAAACAGCACCTAATGCAGACGAAAACGTCCAGCTGCTTTAAAAAACCCGAGTAATACTGCTACAATAAAGATTTGTATATTCGTCTACTCAATCCTTATTTATTCAGACTTGACCCCAACATAGCGAACCTAAGTCTTGCATGCAATAAGGCCCTGTACGACACTAAGTACCTCTTTGCATGTCCCTTAAAAGCTACTTATTTGGGCTCCCTTGTCCTCTGGTCCGAGCCCGTCGAGACAAACTGGTCTCGCTTGCGCTACAACAACAATGACTCGAAACAGATCGACTTCGTTGTAAAAGTCTGAAGACCCTTCTCCAGTGTTTTGGAATGATTTACTTTCTGGGATCCTATTTTCGACTCGTTCTTCTATCTTGTTGCATCTAAGGCCTTTGTGTAGCGAAGAGCGTGTTGTACAGCCAAGAACGCGAGTCAAAAAATGCAAGTAAGGTTCGACGTCGCCAAACAGTTTCTGCTCGACTTATACCACTGCTCTTGTGAACAACCGAGCATAAGGAAATTGCAGATCCAATGCAAATATTTGGTCAAAGGCGGAGAGAAAATACGGTCTATCTCATAACGTAGCGACCAACCACAAGCTGAAATATCGCCTTAAGGTATGCAATACATTTTATTGTTCTCACTTCATTGGTGTACAACATTTGTTGCTTATACACAAATATATATATATATACTAGTGATCTATATACATAATCTGTATATATGTATCAGAGTATGCGACATTACATCACTTAAACCATCCCATACTCTGATTTCCCTAAACACTTTTGTATGTATATTAATTGGGCTCTTATCAGCTCAGTCGGAAATATCGAAATGCAGTGAATATTACCATAAATTGGAGAGTTCAAAAAAACTCAACAACAAACACATGTAGACCTCTGCTGATTGCCTGCAAACGTACACCAATGCTTGTTACCTCAGCAGCTTAGCAGCAGTGTGGTCAGGCCAATTTGCAGGTTATCATCTGCTGATGCTGCTGCTGCTGCGGCACTAAAACCAATTGGCCCATCTCCGGGGAGTGAGAAGATGCAGCACTGCAATAACTCAACTGTTTATTGTGTGTTGAGCCAAGCGTATGTGCGAACGGATGTGTGTGAGGGTATATTTGGATTTGATGGTAGGAAGAAGAGACGAAAAAACAAAAAAAAAACAAATGATTGACGAAACTCATTCGTAAGCGATGCAACGGAGCAGAGCAGAAAGAACAGAGCAGCGCAATATAAGCTTTCATAAATATGTTTTTTTTTTTATGTTGGCAGAGTTTATGCTTTGCAATTCCCATTTGTATTTTATAAATTTGTCAGTTTTACAGTTAAGGCATTTTTTTTGGATGCAGAGATTACTCTTTATTACGCTTGCCTTGTTGTGGTCGAAAAGAAATCGCCTCTTGCCTTCGCTTAATGAGTGTGGTTTTCAGACTAACGGTTTATTTGTCTCCATCTGGAAGAAACCCTGATACGTTCCAACTCTGCCGACTAATAATTGAATGATATTACCCTCACTAGACTACTATATACGATGTGCTCAAGACGAAGAGCGTGAGTGGTCGAATTCCGGAAGACATAAAAAGCGAATCTCTCACTAGCCGCAAGCGCCTATTTCGACGGAATGACATTCCCTGCCGAGAAACAATCGCAATTATAAAAATTAGCTTAATTTTTTTATTTAATTTAATTTGCTATAACTTTTTGTATGTTAGTACGACACCAGTATTTGAACCCGAGCCTTCCAAATGGCAGTACGAAATGCTAAGCACTAGGCTAACGCGGCCGGACAAATATATAACTGACTTTTTGTAACCGTCAGCCGAGCTGCTCCTCTGCTTTGTGGTCTGCGGTTTGATGTTTTTCCACAAATAGAGAGACCTATAGTTTGTTCTAAGCCACCTCCGAACGGCTGATGGTTTTTCATGAGGAACTTTTATTTGATGTTGGAAATACACTCGCAAGGCTTCATATTCGCTGTCGAGATTCGAACGTAAAAATAAATTTGTTTTGAATGTTTATTTAATTTAACAATTTAATGGAAAAATCACGAGCAACTGCTATAATTTAAAAGAATAATTCATGTTTTATGTTATATATGCGAAATTATTGCTTCTCAAACGTCAACAAATTTCCGCATTGTTCAAGTGACGGAGACAATGGTTTTTGCCTTGGCTAAAAAACAAACGATGTACAGGGCGACTCAACTACTTTTACTTTGCAATTGAAAAATTGACAGTGTTGCATTTGAAGTGGCGTGAAAAAGAGAACGATGCATATAAACAATAACTCTTAGAACACAGAAACTCATTAACCATTAACTTCCCATTCTGCGAGCCAACGATGACTAGATACGAAACTCTTTATTCCGTGAGAGCGCTCAAAAATCCGCATTTTTTATAACATTTCTGAACAGTGCCACTGTGATGGAAAAACGACTTATTTGGATTTTTAGGTATATTTTGGGTATTTTATTACAAACAACGACGTCTTTAATTGCAATTTCACTGAAAAATTTCATTGAGAAACAATTCAGTATTTAATTATATTAAGTTTTAGTAATAAAATTACAATAATTTCTTTAATATTTACTGCTGAAGCAAATTTCTTTTGAAACAAAAACAATGGATTTTTTTATTGGCATAGTGGCACTGGTGCTTTTTGCACATCAGATGTTGAATGTTCCCCGATCTGACACTGCTGCCAACATTAGAATGTGAGATGGGGGAACGCTCTCAGCTGCGATTTGAGTAAGTTTCGTATCTAGTCATCTTTGCTGCGAGCCACAACAACAGAGCGCAAAGCACCAGCTTCGTCAGCCGGTACACATAAATACGCCAACAAATCAGCCAGAAAAATTCAGTCAACAAATGTTGATGTCATTTATTGGACGTAAAATTCTCCATAACGCACACAATTTGACGGCCAAGTGGAGTCCCCGAAACAGACGTGGAAATATTTGTCAATTTGGTAAGTAGACTAGCAAACTTAAATTAAAAAAATATATGTAATTGTGAAATAACAAAGGCAAGGAAATAGTAGTGAGTGTTTGACAAGCAAAGTGATCAACATGTGTGTAGTCAGTGAAATCCGTAGAAAATAAAGAGTTCGTAGCAAACAAACGAATTATGCTCCAAGAGAATGTTGTGAAATGGCAGTGCGTATGAATATGTGCGTATGTGTGTATGTCTGTTGTGAGGTGTAGATAAAGTTTTGCGATCCAAAACAAAATCGAACACTATGCGTCATATAGAAGTTTGTACAGAAAAAATTGTCGATTTTGTCGATATGTAATGTATTTATATTATTTATCTAACTATGTACGCATATATGTACGAAGATAAGCAAATAAGCGATAATTATTATTTAGGACTTCTTTATTTATATTAGTAAACATTTGTGGCTAGAATTTAAAATTTTTGAACAACATATGTATGTATGTATGTATATGCGCGAAGGTATGCATATAAAATAAAAAAAATACTGTTTAAGTTTATAAAAATTTAACTCAACGGAGTTCTAAACATTTTTCGTAAAATTATGAAATAAATGAAATATATATATATATATATTAAATATGCAACAATTCATTGTCTTTCATAGGCATTACTCATAGTCGTTAAAAATTAATGAATTTTACACTTAACAGCGCATACATCGCAGAAACGCTCATTAGTTGTAGAACCTTGGGTAATTGTTTTAAAACACTTCCACCAATTCAAAAAAACTGTCATTAAAAGTATATTTCTAACTTCCGCAGGGATTTCCACACATTTCTTCAGTCTTATATACTCTATTCATTTAAACAATAATTACACAAGAATTTGAAAATACCTAACTACACCCACGATATAAATATAAGTGTAAGTATGTGTATGAGTGCCTATGTCTGTATGTAAATATTTGTGTCTAATTGAACAGCTAAGCAACCGGCAAACCTAGACCTAATTTTCATTTAACCAAACAAAAATATGTTGGTAGTAATTAAGGTTAGGCGCTGTAGGGCCTACATTTTGTCGCCAGAATCGTAGTAAATTAAATTATAGGGTTATGCATTTCGTGATTCCAAAAGGACAGATATGTAACATCTGTCAAACTTAACGATCATACCAAAGTTGTTTTGTTAAAAGCGAGTGATCTATGAAAGTGGGTAACTTAACAGCCACAAAATGCGTTTAAAAATCTACTACAAAAATTGTGACTCAAACGTGATCACGTCTCACGCTTTAAGAGGATGCACATAATTGTCCAACCATTCAAGCAATTGATACGTTCTCAAGAGCTTCGTCTTGAGCTCTTGGAGACCAACTTTCGTCTAGTTATGGCTGAGGCACCTCCCAATTTGTGCCAACAAGTGATCGAAACTTACCTCAAACGGATCGGAGATTACAAAAATTCGCGAGAGGATCGTTAGAATGATTTTGTCTAAAATTTATAATAAAAATGCTTTTTATTCATGTTTGTTTTCGAAACCGCAAAAAGGATAACCCTGTACAACTTTCAATGAGTATCAACATATGTACATATATACATACTATATGTAAGTAGTTACACATGGCGGTCTCAACTTATTTTAAATTGAAAACTTTTTTTGCTTAGAAATTTTGATAAAAAATTATAAATTTTTGTTTTGAAAAAAAAAAAAACAATCAATGGTTTGTTATCTCAAAAGCAACCGCAAAATGGTAAAAATAACTGATAAGCAAACCAAAATATGCTGTTAGACGAATTTTATTGAATCTTAAGTGTCTTGGAATGCACATTTAGACTTCTTTCAAATGAGAAATACGGATACTCCTATTTAGCGGGCATCCCAGTTTGCGAACATCAGTTTCCGTAACGATTGTTGTTCTCTGCTTCATTACGGCGTACATTTGATGAAAATTCGATAGCACCAAGGTATTGTCACTTTTACCAATTTGGTAGCGGAACCTGAAGAATCTGCAACTTTTGATTCAACAAAAGCGGGCTAAAAGCGATGAGCACTTAAAGGCCCTCAACTTCTTCACTGAAGCCGAGATGGGCAACCGTAAAATCTCACTCTACCTCGACGAGTTGACGGTGGATACGGAGAAATTGTATATGGTGATTATGTCTTCTCAAGTCCGGAGAATTCGAGGAGCTATTTAAGCTAGTAGTTTCCACCGTCTTCAGTAGACAACGCTAAAAGACGTGTATCCTCCGTTTCATGAGTAGCCATTTATTAGCGTATCACTAGGTGCAAAGTTTTGGTGCTTACCGGGAAACGGCCAGCCTGGAGAAATTATGCCGTCCGATAAATCTGCTTTCGCGGTAGTAAAAGTAACTGAGGCCTGGAAGCTTTCGACGTTATCTGAGCCCAATGTAACATCGGTATGATTTCGAATAACTTGTGGTCTCAAACATAATGGACGCTGCTTTGTCAACCTGCAGCAAGCCTTCGTTATGGTTAAGGCTACAAACCAATTTAAAAGACAAAGGAAAATTAAAAACTTACTTCATTTACTGGCGTAGATTCCGCTTACGCGATTCCGATTTACAACAGTGCGACATTCGTTTCTTCTTTTTGCTGTTTGGCGCCAATTGGAAATACCAAATACAGCCAGGCCCTTCTCTACCTGGTCTTTCCAACGGAGTGGAGGTCTCCCCCTTCATCTGCTTCCACCGGCGGGTACTGCATCGAAAACTTTCAAAGCTGGAGTATTCGCAACCATACGGATCACATGACTTAGGCAGCGTATCCGCTGCTTCTTGATTTGCTGAACTATATCAATGTCTCTGTATAACTCTTACAGCTCATCGTTCCATCGTCTGCCGTATTCGCTGTTGTCAACGCGCAAAGGACTATAAATCTTATGCGAAATCTTTCTCTCGAAAACTCCTAGCGCCGTCTCATCAGAAAATTAAAAATAACTTCCCCCCATAATACAGTTTAATATTGATTTTTAAAAGCTTCCTGAATGAATGACCGCAAAAAAGCTTCCCCGACCCAGTAAATATGTAGATGATTGATCGATCTTAGCACGTCTTACTTCTTACCTCTTTTTCTTAGGTTCTCCATACCCACACCAGTAGTTTCTTGGCAGTTTTACGACATTTGGAGGCATCAAGTTTGTAGTGTGAGGTCCTGCTACTCTCGATCTTTCCAAAAGCGTGGAGTGAGGTGAAGAATGAACGACTAATTCTTCAACAATTTTCCCTTCTTTGCCAACTGAAACCTCACACTCTAACCAACTTCAACAATAACTAAATTTAAATTTTTTAGGGTTTTTTTTTTTGTTTATTTGGAAAGGGTAGCACCGCCAAACTCATACTTTTTTACAATTTCGCTACGTGACCCACGAAATATACCGCCTCCTTATTTCTTATCGCAAACACAAATGGATGGTCAGCCCTAAATGACTTTTGGTCCAAGTTCAGACTCATCGGCACCATTTTCATGACTAAACGGAAAAATACAATGTTAGCACAAATATATATGATATGGCTTTAAGGCTTTAAAAAGATACTAACAAGTCGCCGCCGCAGCCTCCGAGCCAGCTTCATTCACATCCAAGAAAGCTTTGTGTTTAACATCATTGACTTTTTGCCTTGAACCGCCGACAAAAAGGCTGTTGAAGTTGGCCGTATCCTGGAACATGTTGCTCATGCCTAACTGCAGTTAAAAATTAAAAGATGTTTAGTGGGCTCGCAAATACTAACAATCCCGTCACTCACCTGTTGCAAAGGTTCCTTCAAATCAATATTGAATTCGATACGAAACTTTGGCAGGGATACATCAACACTATGACTCTGCAAACGCTCGGTGATTTGGTTGAAATCTACATTAGCCAATTTCTTCTCCAATGCCGACAAACCATCAATCTTGTTGGGTAATAGTATCAGCATAGACAGATCCGAACCCTTGTAGGGCAACTCAAGTGCTTTCGCTTTCAAATCGGTCAATTCGCCATATTTCAAATGCTCATCCGCATACATCATCGGCACCATTTGCGTCTGGCCGTCACCCATTCTGAACTCCTGTTCGGTAGTTGAGAACTTGCTAAAAGGCTTTAGCCACTTGGCCTTAAAGTAAATAGCATTCACCAATATCGCACTCGTGTCGGCATTCACAGCATCAGGTTGCAATAAATTTTGAATTTTATTCTCCGTCTCATTCGCCACCCATTTATTGATCGCGTCAGCAGCTTTAGCGGATTCGGCGAATTTCGTTGGTAAAGCTTCAGAGCCGAAACTAGTTTTGGCCAAGTTATTGAAGGCTGGCGACAATTGCAGCGCCTCATTTACATAAATGCGGTTGGCCATGCGCAGCTTTGGTGTATCCTCCGTAAGACCGGCTCCTGTGCGGAAGTTCTTCTGCAGAAAACCCGCATAATCATCAGCAATGCTGGTCTTCTCTAATGCCACTGGTAAACGTAACCCGTGCCGCATTTGTTGCGCTGTCTCACCCTCGGCGCCAAGGAAGGCCAAAGCTAAGCAACTTTGTATGGACGCTGGTGAAAAGACCACGTTTTCCTCTGAACGCTTCAGAGCAATCTTTTGGTAAATGTCCGAGGCGAAGAGATTATGACTCGCCGAAAGCGAGGGTGCGATTGTGCCGGCAGCTGCCATGATTATGTGGTTCGCAGCGAAAAGAATTTGTGCAGCTAAAAAGTAAACTGCAAAAGAAAAGATGTTTGTGTTAACGTTTTTGTGCGCTTAGGCGGAATGGATCTCGGAGTTCTATATGTTTAATTTTATAATTTACTTTTATTTATTTAATAAAATCCCTTATTCGAACCCTGGTCAGACCAATATCCATAATTATAGGAAATTAATTAAAAAAAACTCAATTACTTTAGCCTCTCGGCGCTTGAATGTATCCAAGTACTTTTCTGTCAGGGAACGAATATTTTCTTATTGAAATTAATCAGCCGCTCGGAGGCGTCTTGAAATCATCTGTAGATCCTTTCAGTCTGAAGACTGATTGCAGGGGCTGTTCACCAAAGCTGAAGCTGCGGGCGGACGTTCAACTTAAGCCAGCCACTCGCGTCTCCAGAAATTAAACTTACTTGTGTAGCAGGGTTGTGCGAGGGCTTGGGATTTAGCATATAAAAAACAACGAGTCTAACGAAAATTCATATAAAGCCTCGGATAAGAGATCGCCCATTAGATTATAGTCACGTTAAATGAAGATTTAAGGGTATTCAACTGGAATGCTCGGTCCCTTAATTGGAATGATGTGTGTGACCAATTAATCCTGGTCTTCAGTATAGCAGTACCCAATGCTGGCCAAAGTCATATCAGTCGGTGCCGGATTCATAGTGGGAGTGAGTCCGAGTCGTCGAGTCCTGTCTTTCAACCTTAATGTCTAACCGCAATTCGTATCAAAGAGAAATACTTCAACATGTAGTTAGAACCTGACGGAAAATTTACTCTTCACCACTAAAGCTCTACAAATGATCTGAGACTAGACGACTATACCAGATCGTTGCATGCAAGAACCATCAATCTATCACCGGATCGCAAGGCAAGTAAGCATATCGATCATGTTGTGTAAGACGGTAGACATGTCTCCTATAGTTTAGATATTCACACACTCCGAGGTCCTAAAATCAATTGACAACCAGCACAGCAGACTGCGAAGCAAATTTTGACTACACCTTATATATTTAAGACAAATTTTTTTTTTTTATAGATTACTTAGTACATATGTAAATATTTATGTAAATGCATACACCGTGCTGACGTCATTTTCGGTGTTGAAATTCACTTTCTCTGTACTTTTGAATTTAATAACTAAAATATTTCAACGCTTCTTCACTTTCACAATGCTCTTTTAGAACTAAACAATATTTTGAGCTTCACATTTATATATGTATGTATGTACATACCAAATATGCTCAAACTAATATATTGTAATAAATATTTATTTATTTATATGCATAGCTCAGAGTAAGCTCAGGGAAAACCGAGATTGAAATACTTTGACGCAACTTTTCCTATCCGGCGCCTTGGCGCGCTCTTCCCTATCTCTCTCTCTCTCTCTCTCGCTATCTATCACTCTTGTTTTGCATTTGCATTGTATTGCTATATCGCGTAGAGGAAGTGAGGTCAAACAAACATCACTTGTGAAATAATGTTTACAAACAATAAATTCTGCTGAAATATGCAAATAAATAAGTCAATGAGCCGCTCATTTAATTATTTTTTTTTTTTTGTTTTGTGCATTATGTACATAGGTGAGCAAACACATAAAAGATATCTTTCATATGTTTCTTCTTTCTTTGTTGTTTATTTTAAAATTTCTTACTTTTTTATTTTAATTGTATTTTTTTTTCTTTTTTTTTTTTTTTGTTTCAAAGTGCACTTCTCCTTTTTTACAACAAATTTCGAACTTATGCCGCACTCGCTTGTTAAAATACTAAAAATTACCGTATTACTGAGATTTCTTACCAGCGAAAATATCCAGCACACACTTGATAGTCATATCAAATAAGTCATAAATGACTAATCAGCTGAAGTGTTTCTCATTTCTATTTGTTTAGCTTTCGAAAAAAAAAAGAGATAATTCAAAGTGTAGTTACGAAGAGCGCTAATGCTAAGAGAATTGACGAGGCACCTATAAAAAATTATGGCATGCCTACGTACAGTCGATGTCGAAATTCGTTGTATTTTTAAATAAACAAAATTCTTTTAATGCAAATATTCATTTTTAATAACAAAAATATTTTGGAATTTTAGTTTAATTTTATGTTGCCTTAATTAGTTAATACAAATTAAAAATAATTAAAAAAAAATTCCCTAAGTAATTTCATAATTCATCAAATTTTTTTGAAAATTATAAAAAAAAGGTCCAGATAAAACTAAAATATAAAATTTGTTTCCGCAACGTGTTTCGCCAAATTAATGTCCGCCTGCTATGATTAAGCAGTCGTCATGACGTCGGCAGCATTAGCAATAAGTAATTAATATGTATACCTTTGGACAATTCATATGCAGAACAGGTTTAACCGGCACATCAAATCGTAGAAAAATCCCCGCAAATCATTCGTGACTATAAACGATCAAATAGTTAAGAAATAACAAAAAAAAATTGCCCAAAAATTAATTAAAAACATTGTTATAAACATCAGTATGTATGTAGATGAATATATGTATGTATAGAAGATGAAATTGTCACATCACGTAATATAGGGTTATCCATTTCGCAGTTTTAAAAATACAGCCAAATACATAATCGTCCAACTACTCAAGAAATTGGTAAAGTTTTAGAGAAATTTGAAGATACTGAATCGTTTACAGATATTATAAGGACCGTGCATCATCGTCTTGTGCGTTTCACCTCAAATATCGCCACCGTAAGTGACGATCTCTAGAGCTGGGACTTTATTTATTTCGGCAGATTACCGCATCCATATTAAGTCCAGCTCACACAACAACTAAAGCCAGCTGGCCCTTCACGACGCCAAACATACATCGGATTGTGTGCTTGAGCGTCAAACAGTGGGTGGCGATTTCACGAAGAAACTATTCTTCAACGGCGTGGCACATTGCTCACTCTGGGGATGCGTAAATAAGCGAAATTGTCGCATTCGGGGCGCTGAGAATTCTCCTCAATCAGAGATACCTTTAAACCCAAAAAAAAAAAAAACTTAATGCCTGGTACGCTCTCTGGTCCAGAGGTGTGATTGGACTTTACAACTTAGAAAACGAGACTGCGAAACTGTCACTATCGATTCGGAGCGTTATGACTTTTTTTTGGCCAACACTTGGTTTCAGCAAGATAATGCCACACAACATGAGCACATATGGCTTTACTGCAAGAGAAATTTTCCGACCACGTAGTCATTCGTCTTGGCGATGTCAATTGGTAACCGATATGGTACGATTTGACACCGTTCAACTTCTTCTTTGTGAGGCTAAACGAAGGCTTCAACTCTTGAGCACTTGAAACGCAACATTCGTCAAGTTTCACAGCCATAACTACCGCCCGATATGTGGCAAAAAGAATGCCGAAAATTACCGCAAACAGTTGGAAATTTACAAAAATCGAGAGGTGAGCATGGGGAGGATGTAGGGTTCGCTACTTTGAATTTCTACTTTTTTTTGTTTAAAAAGCTTATGTAATCTTCTTTGCTTACCAGAAATATGTATTTCACTTGACGTTTACTTATTCTTCCTTTCACTCATTATTAATTCACAAATAAACAATTCTGAGTAAAATATTATTAATTCGGCTTGTTTATGTGAAATTTAAGAACGTGTTTTGTTCATTTTTAAAATTAGTTTTTTACATAAACAAGCAAAATTAATCTTTTTTTTTTTTTGAAACCCAAATTTTATATCGCATTGTGATTTATAACTTCATTTGCTTTGGTCAACATTTTGTTGTTGTGTGTATTTTTTAAGAAGACACTGATAAGTGTAGATCACCAGCGAGTGTACAATAAAGTGATCAATAAAATAATATTCACTATTCAGTCTCGTTTTGAACACATAACGGTGCAGACGCGTTTCGGTTAGTTCGGTTGAAAGGCGTATACAATTGTAGTGAGAATGGAATAGTGATTTAATCATTGCAATAAAAAAAAATAATAAAAATAAAAAAAAAAACAAAAACAATTTACAAACAAAGTGTGTGTTTTGTAAAAAGTACCAAAAAAAAAAGTTGTGTTTTTTTTTTTAAAAACGTCATTAATTGTGTATACGAAAAATCGAATGCAGTGAAATATAAAAAATTTATTATACAATAATTATTTATTGCTGTTAGTTGTTTAACAAATTTCTTAATAATCATTTAAACGCGCAAACGCGTTCAATAAACATACATACATACATATTTAATACATTTATAAACATACATACATACATACATACATACATATAGTTTATGTACAATACGTAGATCAGAAGTACACACAAATGCAGATAAAAAACGAAATGTTATCATCAGTGAATTTTGTGCGCGGTGAGTTTAGATTTAATTTTACTTGAATAAACACAAAACAGAAATATTTTGAAATAAAATTAGAATCAGAAAATGTAGATGAAACTGAGAATTATTAATAATCCTGCACTAGGCCAGTTCAGTTCTTTAGATCCTCTCAGTTGCAGAAGAAATATCAAGGCAAATATTGTAAACAATACATATGTATGTATAACGGCACCAGCGGGTATTTAAACTATTAATTTTTCCATTAAAAAATATAATTAGAATGAAAAATGAAGACATTAAATGCGAGAATTCTTTTCTTTAAGATCTTTCCTTTTTTTCTGCCATTCACAATAGCAAGCACGTATTGACAGTGATGGTAGAAAATAATGAAATCATATAATTAAATAAACCTGATTGTTACTAACAAAAATTAACCAATTAATCAATGTTCTGTTTTTATTGTTGGAAAAAAAATTAATAGAAAAATAAAGTGGGATAAAAAATATAATTTAAAGTTTTCGTTTTAATCGAAGGATTCACCACAACATGCTTCAGATCGAGAACCTAAGCATCTAAAGGGTGTATTTTTTAGATAATTGGTTTTCGGTATGAAATAAAATGCATATAATTTAATTTTTTTTTATTATTAAGATAATGGTTTGCCATTTTATTTCAAAAGTGATCTCGGACAAGTGACCTCCACGACTCGCTGGAAAAAATCCCAACCAACAGTTTCAATTTTCGGCCACTTTTTGCAGCGATTGGAGCCGTATCTCAGATGTAAAGCGCGGAATATTCTCTTCCAAAACGTAAATCGCCTCGGCAGCTGCCTAGACAAGCGACATTAGAAAAAAAATAGTTCAGCGGTGCTAATCGAACGATCGGAGATCACGTCACAATCCCAAAAAATTGATGTTGTTGTAGCGGTTCGATAACCCCGCTTAGGCACGGGTTTGATCAGTCTAAGTCGCCGAGGTCATCTAGTGGTAGGTCCAGGAAACGAGCTGTTTCGACGGGGTTGGACCAGAGGGAGAGAGGGCATGTGAAGAGGTGGTCAGCGTCGTGCGGAGACTATCCACATTCAGGACATACATTGGGTATTCTGGCGTCTAGTCTGGATAAGTAGGAGTTTAACCTGCTACAATATCCAGACCTAAGTTATGTGTGGGTCACGCAGGTCTCTCGAGGCATCTCGAGCTCGTTGTCTGCAATAGGTGGTGATTTTTCTTCGAGTATGCCATTCTCTGGAAGGGAGTCCTTTGAGGTGTTGACTGACTCCTGGTGAATGGCGTTCAGTGCGGTAGCATCCCAATAGGAGCTGCTTGCACAGCAAAGCATTATGCTCCTTACCTCGTAGCATAGATGCTTCCCTGTGCAAGTGATGCACTGGCGACATCAGGAAGTTTCCTGTCGCGGTCCTGAGGGCGGTGTTCTGGCAAGCCTGTAGCTTCTTCATCTGCGTCTCGTTCGTCCCCGACGCCCAGATTGATGCAGCACAGCTTGCGACCGGCCGACCAATTGTTTTTGTGTTATTTACCGTCGGAATATTTGTGTCATCGACCTTCACATCTAGTTCAAGCCTGTACTCCTTCATCCAGCTGGTGAAGAGGGTAGCCGAGGATTTCGTCGGTTGTATTCTTAGCTGTCATGCAGTGAAGAAGTGGGAGAGATCAGCGAGGTAGCCGTTCACTTTCGAGCAGAGTCCGTCAATATCCTGGCCAAACGCCATTATCGTACAATCATCGGCATAAGAGGTTAGGGAAACTCCTTCTGGTGGTGGAGGGAGTTTCGAGATGTAGAAATTAAACAGTAGCGGGGAGAGGGCACCACCCTGTGGAACCCCCTGTTTAATTTCCCTGGGCTTAGATGTCACACCTCGGAATATTACCGATTATTGTCGACCACTCAGGTAGCTCATGAATCACCTCTCAATGTCCGTTAGTAGCACTGAGTGATTGACTGTGTCAAAAGCTTTTGACAAGTCCAATGCTACCAGGACAGTTCGCGCGCAGGGTCGGTTTTGGTTAAGGCCATGGACTATCTGGGTGTTTATGGCGTTAAGCGCTGTTGGACACAGGTGGTGAGTGAAAGTTGGGAGCAGTAAGGCCTCAAGTGTCTTCGCTACTGGGGACCGAATGAAATTTCCACCCGGTCATCACGTCTCGTCGGGTTAGACAGCGACTTGACTGTAGCGCAGATCTTGGTTGCCCCAGAGGAGAAGTTGCAGGACCTTAGGTGCTCCTCCCACTTTTTCCGCTTGTCAATGTTGACTACTCTTCGAATCTCCGCGTTTAAATCCCTGATTCGGCCTGCCGGGATGAAGCGGGTGGCAGCAGTCACGACGACCCTGTGGAATAAACGTCCACCAGTGGTGACGTCTGATGGAGTGAGAAGAGCACCAAAGGCGTTCTCAGTGAATTCCGTGAATCCGGGCCAGTTAGCTTTTCTAAAGTTAACAAATGTCCGGTGGTCCGCGGAAACAAAGTCGGGAGGCCTGTCAATCGAGATTTGTAAGGGCAAGTGGTCCGATGCTAACGTCAGTATAGGTCGCCAGACTATACTGTTTATCAGCCCAACACTCGCAATTATTATGTCTGGCGAGCTTTGGCAATTACAATGGTGGAGGTTTTATCGTTCATTGTGCAGAATGTCGAATCGTCTATCTGTTCTGCCAGTTTCATTCCTCTACGGTCATTTGACAGCCTAGAATGCCAAAGATCGTGATGCGCGTTAAAGTCGCCCAAAACTAAACGGGTTTCGCCCCTGAGTATCGCACATATATCAGGGGTGTATCCTGCTGGGCTACTTGTAACTGGAGGAATGTATATATTGAATATTTCGAGCTCGACATCCCCTGACCGGATAGCTATGCCCTGAGGGTAGTATCCCTGCGGTCGATGTCGCCATCGATAAGACGATACTGCACGGTGTTGTGCAGGATGAACGCTAAATTAATTGTTTAGTTTGGTTGTTCAAACCAAAGTTCGTCAAAACCTTTCAATTCAGGTGTCGTGTCGGACAGTCGTGTGGTCTGTCATCATTCCAAATGTGACAATTTAGTTTAATAATGCCACTTTTCAACCAAAAGTGGGCTTCATCGCTGAATAAAAATTGTCTGATGAAAATCGGGATCTGTGGCGATTTTATTTTGGACTCATTCAAGTATTCTAATACTTTTCTTCTCTTCACAGCAACAAAATCGTCTTTGGTGAGCATTGTAAGGCGTGTCTGAGGGATTGTGCATTATCCACTAAAGTGAAAGTGGTGCGAAATTGTTCCATGGTTGACCAATTGTTCCATTACTAAGTACAAATTTTTAACCAGGAAAGAGTAAACTAATTACACGAAAATTTCTTAAATTAACATGTTAGAGGACCCCGAGTAAATGCACATTATATTATATTTACTACTGTCTGTCAATGCATTAAAATCATTCATCAGATCAGAGAATTTTACAGTTACCAATTTAAAAATGAAAAAGTGCATGAAGCATTAAATGTGCATTAAAAAAACTACTTTTTGAAAAAAAAAGTATTACTTTTAGTTTGAATTTAAACATAAGAAAATAATGCATTAATTTTATTAACCCAAAATGTGTAAAGCTTGAACTCAAGCGACTTAAGTCAAGCTATTTTCGAAAAAGTAAACATATTTTGGCTTTTACCGATCCTTGACCAATTCGTGGATATTTCGAAACTTGATCAGGACCGGAAATGAATCGTTTCAGTGAAGAGACTACATTTTGTATTATTCTTCAGTGTTCTGGGAAAGTGTTCAGATCCATACTGTTAATGCCGTATTTAGTCAAGGGTAGCATGTTGAATCTCTACAATTTCATTAGGTCAGAGTTATGACGTTTATTACTTACCATTCTTTTATTTATTTCGAAACAATAACATACTCATTTCCTCCTTCTTTTTATTTTAGGTCTTCTTCTGACTATCGTTTTAGTACTTTCCGTACAAACAACAACTTCGAATATGTCGAATCACAAACAACAAAACCTTCAACGCGAATTCGCCCAAAAGTCGGCCCAATTCGCAGTCAACCTCTTTAATTTCATGCACACCAGAGAGCCACATAGAAATATTATATATTCGCCCTTCTCGATCCAAACATGTGTTGGTATGGCACGTATTGGCGCTACCGGAGAGACCGGAGCGGAAATCGATCGCGGACTGGGTCTGCCCTCGAACGATGTGGCAATCATAGCCGACACCTTCCACAATGTACTGGACACATATAAGGATAGTCCGATATTGAAGATCGCCAACAAGATATATATCATGGAGGGCTATAAAATACTAGAGCAATTCAATGAAATTGCCACTACCAAGTTCTTCTCCGCTGCCGACAGCATTAATTTCGGCAACAGTGCCTCAGCGGCGGGCACCATTAACAAGTGGGTGGAGTCTAAAACGAATAATCTCATTAAGGATCTCATATCGCCCGATGCTCTAAACGGTGATACACGTGTGGTGCTGATAAATGCCATACACTTTAAAGGCGAGTGGAAATATCAATTCCCGAAATCGGCAACACGCGAGGATAACTTCTATTTGAACGAAGTCGACTCGGTTAGAGTGCCGATGATGAACTTGAAGGAATCGTTCGCTTACGGCGTTATACCCGAGCTTGATGCCGCTGTGCTGGAAATGCCCTACAAGGATACCGATCTATCAATGGTGGTGATTTTGCCTAATTCACGCACCGGATTGCCGAGCTTACAAGAGAAGCTGAAGAACTTCGATCTAAGCGCGATCACACAACGTCTATACCGCACAAAAGTCATTGTAAAATTTCCGAAATTCAAAGCCGAATTCGACATTGAACTCAGCGATGCTTTAACGAAAGTAAATAGTTTTTTTTTTATTTTGTTTTGATGTAAAGTTTTCTTTGGCTAAGGAATGTATTTCGAATTTTTTTAACACACCGAACTTAATTTTTTCCATAGCTTGGTATGGGCCGCATGTTCAGCGGTGCTGCTGAATTCGACAAAATGCTCGACTCAAGTGAGCGCTTAAGAGTCTCGAAAGTCGTTCACAAAGCCTTCATCGAGGTGAACGAAGAGGGCACTGAGGCCGCAGCGGCCACCGGTAAGCATAAGTTTTCTCTCGCTACCTGTTTTTTCCACATACATCTTCTCTTCTTTTTATGCTTTATCTTTTCATCTTTATGTTTATATGTTCATCGGGCAAGTTTCGGATTTCGAATAAAATGAGTAATAAATTCAAAATTCAGCCAATAAATTTCGAATTTTATTTTTACTCGAATTCGAAGTCCAGAACATGCTTGTTTGTATGTTTTATTGTTTCGTTGATAGTACTTAGCTTAAGTTTATCACTTGTTTCCGTTTCATATACATACCTACAAACATTTATATTTACATGTATTGCATTTATCTATGAGTCTATTCTCTCGATAGGCGTCTTAATTCGTAAGAAACGTGCCATGTCCGATTTCGAAATTCCGGAATTTCATGCCGATCATCCATTCATATATATTATCAGACATAGTAGTCCTGGAGATGAGACTACGCCAATAAGCCTGTTCTTGGGTACATTGAACTCCTTGGATGCCACGGTTGCATCCGATGAACACGATGAATTGTGAAGAGAATTAGGCTCGATCCAATAATTTCTTGTTGCTTTTATTATGCGTTAAGCGAATAATGTATTTTAGTTGCTTAAGATTTCTAACAGTGGAACAAACATGAAGAACAAATAAAATGAAATCTCCCAAGAGAAATCTCTGTTGTATCGAATACTCAAACCATTTCTGCCAATTGTTTCTTCTTTAGCCGAGCATAGTCAATTGCAGTTTTTTTCTCAAATTTTTTGGATAAGTTTTGCCGTGGTTACCTCTATGCCAATTTTCGGCCTCGGGCCGTCTTCATGGGTTTCACTTGCTTGCTGAAATAAACTCTGCCACTCTGCGCCAAGTACAGCTGATCGTAGTTATTTCAAAGAGAGACACAGGGTGGTGCCTTGAACATTCATCAAAGAAAAAATAAAATTTAAAAGAAAAAATTATGGCAAACCGAAATTGTTATAGTTTTCAAAAAACTTTTATAGAAACCTGTCAAAAAACTTTCAATTTTGTTTCAAAAAAACTTTGCCTTTCATTATGTTTTGTTTGACACTTTTCATATTTTTAAGCAGCCATTTTAATTCGTTATCATTATCCATTAAATTAAATCGCTCATTATTTCTAAGTTATTTTCGTTCTTATTTCTCGTTTAGCCATGACAATTTGTTTATACACCACTTCCGTCAATTGCGAGCTCCCACCTAGATATTTCACCGTTGATAGACCATTTTTCTATGCAGTGACTACTTCCAAAAATAATTTCTTATTTGCTGGCCAAATCATCAAATTTAGCGCTTAAAAAAATAAAACAAAAATAAAAATTGTTGAAAATGAAAATATAAAATAATCTGAGAAATAGAGTGTTTATGATTACAAAAAAAAACTAAGCTGAACAAGATTTGTTTTTTTAATATAATTAACTAAAAAATAGTAATACTAAATTGAATATTAAATTTACATTATTTCTTGCCAAAAACTCTGAAATAGTTTTCACTTCATTTTTTTTTTATTCTGCCTTACCCTCAAGCAATTCGTGCCATTTTGCTCTCTAGTTGTAAATTAGATTTTCTCAAACAGTTGACATCTCTGCTCAGTAACTTATTAACCATTAACAGGCCTATTCTGTACAGGTAACAAAATTTACCTAGATACTCAAATTTGCCATTCAGTAAATTTTGTTACCATTTCGTATTCTGCGCTCACTGTTACCCTGTAAATTTTGTTACCAGCGAAATAGGAGGTAACAAAAATATCTGCTGTTTGATTTTGTGTTGTAAGTTTGAGAAAAAATAAAAAACCAAAATGGGTAGGCATATTTTAGGCCTGGAATTCATTGAAGATGAGGAAAAAATTGAAAAAAGCCGTATTTTAAGAAGTTTTCGAGATTAAAAAATAGCCCTTTCAATTATAAGATAACGTTTTCATTCAACTTTCTTTTATTGCCCAGGCATATTTTCCATAATTAGGTTCAAATATTTATTATTTAATAAACAAATTAATAAAACTTTTTAATTTTTTTTTGTACACCGTCTTCCATTTCGATGTGAATATTTTCCTTTTTACTTTATCAACTGGCGAATGTAATTTGACATGGACGAAAAAAGCAGTGCTGCCAAACTTTTTTCAAATATTGTAACCATTTCGCCAGAATACCAAATTCAATTTCGGGTGTTTAAGAAAAGTAACAAAATTTACTTTACCGGTAACAGTGAGAATATGCCTGTAAGTCATATAATTCTCTATATTCCGATGACCATTTAGCTATCTTCTCAATTCTTTTGAATAAAATTTTTGGAATAGGTGGTAACATTGCTCAAATCTTCATTTTGAGACCCACAATGCAATAGTTGTTATTTTATTTTATTGTTTTATTTATATTCTAATTTTCAAACAGGTGGCAACTCTGTTGAATTATAAATGTAACAAAATTTTCAAATTTTTTTGAACACAACGCAAATCTCATCAAAATGTTTCCGCCGTTAGCTAGAATTTAGTCACAAAGGCATGTACCTGTGTATGTATATAGAATAAAAAAAGGCGCTTCGCATGACCCCACAAAAAAATTATACGGTATTGGGTCGCATAATCTTGGAGGCCCACGATATGAGTTAATTGTATGTTGGTCGACCACCACCACATCCCCCAATGCGGGTACGAAAAAGACATTAACCATAACTCTAGAGCGTTCCCCGGCATCATTTACAAAAAAATATGAACCGATGATTCCCACAGAGCACACCAAACAGCGTCAGCGTGTGACGTTGGTTGGAACCAGTAATTTTCAAGTTCGTTTTCACCTATTAACGGGCATATAGGTGAACGAACATATACCAACATACCCTAATATCATTTTTCATAGACTGTTTTGTTTGAAAAAATGTGTCTTTAGAACTTTTGTGGTTTGAGGCAATTGCCGACCAGGGTTTCCAGCGAGTGTATAATGAAAATTGGTTTTGATGTTCTCTAAACTGTCATTGGAGCTATCACAAACTGCGCTTATTTCATGTAATTAACCGATATTTTTACACACGCTTTCGATCATTTTAGCTTCATTGCGCTAAATATTAAAGATTTCCTTTATTATTTCTCATTTAGCCCTTATAATGTATTGCGCCGAAGCGTTCGTTGAGGAGGAACTATCTGAAGACTTCATCGTTGATAGGCCGTTCTTTTATGCAGTGTTGAATTCTAAAGATAACCTGTTGTTTGCTGGTCAATTCAGTGCTTAGATCTGCAGAAAAATAAAAATCTTGTAAAGTGTTGCAGCATTTGCACCCTGAAGTGAACTTAAAATTATGGACGCAGACAAAGCTCTCAGTATTATTCGTTGAACAAAGCAATATGTATGTACAAGTATATGTATTTATACAGTATTACCATATTTCGGTTTCGAAAATAGACGTAAATAAAATGGATTTAAAATAATTTATTTCATAAAACTACTTTTTCATTGAAGAATGTGAAACCCCGCATCATTCAAATGGCCGCTTCGCAATTTTTTGCAAGCATTAATCCATTTCAGGTGATTCTCAACCTATTTTTTCTACAATTTTGCGGTATCGTAGTCATAACTTTACGAATTTCGGAGCCCGAAATGTGAAAATTTTGCTTATTTACGTATCCCCTTGGTGAAAAATGTGCCTCGTCACTAAAGAAAATTTTTGTTGGAAAAATCGCCGCTCCCTGTTAGTTTTTCCAGCACCCAATCGAAGTCGAAAGGCGTTGTGAAGGGTCAGTTGGCCTCAGTTGTTGTGTGAGCTAGACATTATATGGATGTGAGCTTAAGTCCAAGTGCTGCTAGAAACTCCCACGTCGAGAAATAGACACACTCCGGTCTTAGCCTACACTTCCACTTACGGTAGCGATATTTGAGATGGAATGAGTAAAACGATGATGCGCAGATCTTCTAATATCTGTACCCGATACAGTCTCATCAAATTTCTAAAAAAATGTTTCAATTGCTTGGATGCTTGGACAATGCACAATAATCACCCCTTCGATTCGATATGAGGCCACGTTTCAATCCCCATTTTTGTAGTAGGCGTAAAAAATTTGTAAAAAATACGATGTGCTCTTTTTAAGTGATCCATTTTCATAAATGCCTGACTTTTAACTACAGCAAAACATATTTGATTTGACAGTTCAGTTTGACAGATGTAAAAATACAGCCCTACATTTTTGAAATCACGAAATGGATAACCTTATATAGCATTAATTTTATATTAAATCAATTCCTCATCATGCAACAAACACTCCAACGGCTCAAATATTAAATCTTTTTTCCATTGTAAGTGTTCTTTCGTAGAGTTTTGAAGCCATTCAGCTGCTTTTCTTTTTCGCTTTAATTTTCTCATTTGCCTTGTTAAACAACTAACAAAAGTCATATTCTAATAACACACATTCAATTCACCATAATCTTCCTCACCATCCGCATCATGGTATTTTCAGGAATTTATATGTTGGGCTGTTGCTTAGATGAAGAGTCACCGTCGATATTCACAATGGTTCATCCATTCGCACTGATCATTTACAGTGAAACTGCAGAAACTTTGTTATTTACTGGACAAATTGTTAAGCCATAGATATATTTATTTTAAAAGGAAAAGTACGTTGTATTGGCTGAGTGCATAAGTTCGTGCCCGATTTCAAGTGCAAACTAAAATTGAAATTTTTTGAAGAAAGCGCTTTTATTAATCAATTATGTATTCGCCATCATGTTCGGCAATCCANCGATATATAATATGTATATATTTCTTTCACGAGCGCCACTCTCAAACGATTCGAACGGCATTCAGCGGAATCGGGCACGAACTTATGCACTCATCAATACCATACCTATGTACCTTTATACAAATAAATACGTACTTATGTATATATACCATGTAGAGCACATTAAAAAAATATATATACTTGCAAACTTCAACAAAACTTTTATTCAGATTAGTTGTAATTTTTAAATTTTAGCAGAGCGGAAGAAACTAACAGAAATATTTTTCTGTCTTTGTTCGATTAATTTTTAATTCTCATTCACTTTGATATTTTTTAGGTCATGAAGCAATAGTCATATTTATCCTTATTACTTATTCTGCCTATGTATGAACTTAGATTCTCTAATAAACTCATCAGAGTAACGATTGAAAACTGAAATCGACGATCCAGAAAGAGCAGCCCATTCATATCTGACATAATTTACATTTTACGAAACTCAAAATTCAACATTTTACATATTATATGGTGAGGACTCTTCAGTACCTCAGTATAAGCTTACATACATACACATATATCTTTGCAGGTTTGTCGTAAATTCACTAACTTTTCATATTGTGTTTTAAATTTTGTATGTACTGTGGGCACCCTGTATGAATAACCGTTTCTTTCTTCACAAAAATGTCATCTGCTTATTTTTCTGACGTTTTCACAACTGAATTTTTGTTCGTATTTTTATTAGCAAAAAATTATTATATGCCAAAATAGCAATTGCATTTCTTGAATTCCTAATTCTTGGCATTTTTCAGGCATTATTATGAACAGATCTCTTCCACAACCACCGACGGTATTCAATGCAAATCACCCATTTGTTTATATCATTTACAGTGATATTGCAGAAATTTCGCTGTTTGCGGGACAAATTACTAAGCTATAATTATTTTAATGCATAT